AGCATCAACCAACACCCCCAGGTCCCTTTCCTCTTCACAGTCATCCAGCCACTCATCCCTAGGCCTATAGCGCTGCATGGGGTTGTTGTGGCCAAAGTGCAGGACCTGCCAGTTGGCCTTGTTGAACCTCATCCCATTCACCTCAACCCAGCGATCCAGTTTGTCTAGATCCCTTTGAAGGGCCTCCCTACCCTCAGGCAGACCAACACCACCTCCCAACTTGGTGTCATTTGCAAACTTACTGAGGGTGCACTCAATACCCTCATCTAGGTCATCAATAAAGATATTAAGCAAGATGGGCCCCAGTACCAACCCCCAGGGGACACCACTTGTAACGGGTCACCAGCTGGACTTAACTCCATTAATCACTACCTGCTGGGCACAGCCCTCCAGCCAGTTCCTTACCCAAAGAAGGGTATACCTGTCCAGGCCACAGGCAGCCAGTTTCCCCAGGAGAATACTGTGGGAGACCCTATCAAAGGCTTTGCTGAAGTCTGGGTAGACTGCATCAACAGCCTTTTCCTCATCTATGAGTATGGTCACCCAGTCCTAGAAGGAGATGAGATTGGTCAAGCATGACCTGCCTTTCATGAACCTTTGCTGGCTGGGCCTGATCCCCTGATAGCATGCACATGCCGTGAGATCTCACCCAAGATGGAGCAAATGCTCCATAACTTTCCCTGGTATCGAGGTCAGGCTGACAGGCCTGTAGTTTCCCAGATTCTCCTTATGGCCCTTCTTGCAGATGGGAGTCACATCTTGTGACAAGTCATCTTGTTTCCCTCTACTTGATCAAGATCAACATTTATTAGTAGGAAAAAAGAGGGCTGCTCCGAAAGTAAAGCCTTCTATTTTATTATATTGGCTTACAATGTCTGAGATGGGGGTTGGTTGTATGACCAATATTGTGAGTGCTATTAAAAATATGTTAGCAGCAAAAGGAGGACTGGAGATAATATCACTCCATTACCTGATGAGGATGGTCACCTCAAACACAGAGATGCAGACAATGCAGAGACCCTTCATGTCTTCTTTACATCTGACTTCAACACTGATTATGGACTTTGAGACCCCTGGAGTGCTGAGCTGGAGGACTTTTAGTGTGGAAATAATGAACTCCCAGCCAGCTCCAAACTTGTGCCTGATAAAGTTACTGAGATTATTCCGGGACTTACTGAAAAACACCTGAAAGACAATGCAGTGATTGGCCACAGCCAACCCAACCAAGTTCATGAGGGGAAAGTCCTGTTTAACAAATTTAATCTCTTTTTGTGACAAGAGTTACCTACCTATTTGACCAAGGGAAGCTGGCTGATGTAATTTTTTTTGATTTCACAAAGCTTTCAGTATTATTACTCACAGTGTCCATCTGGACAAAATGTCTAGCATACAGCTAGACAAAAACATAACACAATGGGTAAACAGTTGGCCTATGAGTCAGGCTCAGAATGTTATAGTAAATGGCGTTACATCAGACTGGTAGCCAGTCTGTAGCAGAGATCCTTCTTATGGCCAGTTCTCTTTAATGTTTCAATCAACGACTTGGATGCAGGACTTGAACTGGTACAGTAAATAAATTTGTGTATAACTCCAAACTGGAAGGAGCCAATTACTTCCTCAGTGGCAGAAAGGCTTTGTGGTGAGATCTTGACAAATTTGAGGGCTGGACTGTCAGTAACCATATGAAGTTTAACAAAAGCAAGTGCCAGATTCTGCACTTGGATTGGACAACCCTGGGTATACGTACAGATCAGGAGACAAGAAGCTAGAAAGCAGCCCTACTGAAAGGGATCTCTGGGTTCTGGTTGACAGCAAGTTGAATATAAGTTGGAAGTTGTCCTGACAGTCAAAAGAGCCAATCGCCCTGGGGTGCATCAGGCCCAAGCATTGCTTGCTGGTTGAGGAAAGAGGACACCGGCATGCTGCACACTCACCTCAACTACTTTTTGCAGTTTGGGTTATCACAATCTAAGACAGACATAAAACTATCAGAGAGCATTCAAATGTGTGCTACAAGAATTATGAAGGGTCTAGAAGACAAGGTATATTAGAAGCAACTGAGATTACTTGATTTGTTCAACCCAGAGAAGAAGAGAGTATGGGGAGACCTCATGGCAGCCTGTAGCTTCCTCATGAGAGAAGCAGAGTGAAAGGCACTGATCTGTCTCATGAAAGTGACAGGACCTGAGGGAGTAGCATGGAGCTGCATTGGAGAGGCTCAAGTTGAATATTAGAAAAGGGTTCTTCACCGAAAGGGTGGTCAGGCCTTGGAGCAGACTCCCCAGGGCAGTGATCACAGCACCAAGCCTGCTGGAGTTCAAGAAGTGTTTGGACAATGCTCTCAGAAATATGGTTTGAATTTTGGCTAGTCATGTGTGGAGCAAGGACTGGGACTCAATGACACTTGGATGTCTCTTCTAAGTCACTATGTTCTATACTTTTGTGATACCTTGTGTTCTATACTTTTGTGGCACGCTCTGCCAACCAACCTAATCCTTAATGACTTCTCTTCAGTTCACAGGCAGACAGGATGAGGATAAGTAAAATGGTTAATTCTCTATTTCTTTATTCAACTAACACTTTTTGTTGTTGTTGTTCATGATACTTATGTTCTACACCTGCTAAACTAATTTTAGGAGAGCATTGTATAAAATCACAAAATTTCATTTAGGGCTATCACACTACCTTCATAAAATATTATAACTTTGAGTTCATTCTATTTCTGCGTTAAAATTAACACCTCTTATACTTCAAAGCAGGATAGTCTGCATTTACTTTCTTAAACTCAAGAAAGCTACCATCAATTATATTTGTTTATTGTAT